GTGCCTGAGGACACGCCCACCATAACAACATCATCAATCAATCAAATTACAATCACAACGTTAACTGCACATAAAACATCACTAATCACATTCACAAAACAATCTTAACATAAAATTGTTTAACTCACATTTTCTTTTCTTACTTTAGAACAAAACAAATTAAGATTACCTCCAACTTGTCTTAAATCCCCAAAGGTAAAATGTTCTATGATTTCAATAGGCTATTTCAAACCGATTGTTGTAATTAAGCATTACAAAATAAACTAGATAAAAAAGTCCGTCAATATCTTCATTTGTGTTCCGAAGATGAACGAAGGTCTTACGGGTTTGAAACGACACGAGGGTGCGTAATTAATTACAGAATTTTAATTTTTGGGTGAACTAACCCTTTAAAGCGCCCCTATTATGGGTAATGAAAGGTTCATATTTTGGTTTTGGGAGTCCCCAACAACAGGTTGACATGCATGCAAGGTCAAAATACACTTTCATTGTCTTATAATATGCATTTATTTTTACTTTATTTGCTCAACGACTCCGAAACGATTCGTTTAACGATTTATTTTTCCAAACCCCTTCTTTGCGTGACACTAATCAGCGGTGATTGGTCTCATTTTCATGTCATCTCGCCTGTAATGCCTGATAAAGCAGTGTTTGATAAAGTCTGCTAAATGCATAAATTATAATTATTAAATTAATTAATTATTACAAAGCAGCGTTTGTGAGCGCAGTGCTGCTGTGTGTACAGCGTTACCGGGGAAACAGCTATTTTTACCGCTTCAAAAGCGACACCTAGTCACAAAGAATGAATTTGCATCTTCATTCAGACCAATGCGGAAAGACCAACAAGTGGGCGGGCAATATGCTAATGTTTCATGTTGATGTCAAGATAAAACGGCTTGGGATTCGTTTTAAAAACGACTCGTTTCAATGATTCAGAGTCGACTCTTTCTTTTGAGAGACAATAACTTTATACACGGTGCACTTTCAGATTTAACACTTTGCAGGATGTTTTCATTCACTTAGAGCTGTGTTACACACTGCATGAAAGGTTATTTTCAGAAATCCATAATAGGGGCACTTTAAACCAAACATCATGAAAATCATTCAGTATTTTTTTTAAAGGAAGAACCAGTTTTTGAACTTTGTGTGTGTGTGTGTGTGTGTGTGTGTGTGTGTGTGTGTGTGTGTGTGTGAGAGAGTGTGTGTGTGTGTACTCACACAAATAGTTTCCTCTCTGTGATAAACAGTTCAGCTAGAACTAAAGAACTAAAGCACTGATTGCTGGTGATGAAGAAGAGCGCGCCCATCCTGAAACACACACACACATACTACTGTTAGTGGACAGCCAAAGGGAGTTTTACAAAATATATTACACATGCACAAAGTTGCACCAAAGTATGGTGTGTGTGTGTGTGTGTGTGTGTGTGTGTGTGTGTGTGTGTGTGTGTGTGTGTGTGAGTGTGTGTGAGAGAGTGTGTGTGTGTGTGTGAGAGAGTGTGTGTGTGTGTACTCACACAAATAGTTTCCTCTCTGTGATAAACAGTTCAGCTGAGGAAATAGAACTAAAGCACTGATTGCTGGTGATGAAGAAGAGCGCGCCCATCCTGAAACACACACACACATACTACTGTTAGTGGACAGCCAAAGGGAGTTTTACAAAATATATTACACATGCACAAAGTTGCACCAAAGTATTATTCAGTAAATTATATTTGAAAACACTACGGCTAAAGAGATGCAGCTTCTGTTCATCAGATCTGAACACTGAATCAATTCTAATTCAAGCAGAAATGATTCATCTCACAGAAATACTGACTGAACTGGATGAACGTTTAAATACCTGTTCTGAATGCCACTCGAATTCTCCTTCACTCCAAAAAATATGGCTCCAACAACCAGAGCCAGGAAAATCATCACCCCAATCTGTAGAAAAAACACTCCGATAAATATAGAAATATCAGCTTAAATGTAAAACTTCCTCTTTGTTTTAACACTCTAATATATAAAAATATATATTTAACGGTTTAATGATCTACAACAAAATAGAATGAATTTTGGTGATAACTAAACGAATATTTATTTACTATAATACTGATTTCTCGCTAGAAATAACATCAAAAGTGCAAAAAGTTAGTCAGAAATATATATTTACACACAAACAACTTTCAGACGCCATCTTTATTTTTTTAGCTCAACCGTCACGGAATGGAGCGCACAGGATTGTGGGATATCAAAGGCAGGCGAAGGATACATCTATGCTGCCTTCAAAATTCAATCAGAAGAAGGTACCTCCGGAGACGGGAAGTAAAGCAGAATTTGTATTCGGATGTGCCTTGATGCCTTCCTGACTTAGAATGCTGCCTCCGAAGGCAGAATTTTAGAGTTTTTGGATGCAGCCATAGACTTCCAGAGCAGAAGAAAGAAGAAGAAGAGGAGGAGGAGGAACACCAATGATTACACCTTTGGCGCTTGGCCCCTAATAATAGTATCTCAGTGATTCTAAAATAAGAGTACTGTTATGTGTAGTTGAATTATTTAAATACTATCATAAAAACTATTATTTCAGCTCAAAGACTGATAGAAACATCTGTGAATGCCTGATGTAGACGGTGGTGCTGACCTGAGCGAATGAGGTCTGTGGGTTCAGCATGAGGTTCTTGAAGGTTCTCCTGAGGACCCAGTTGAACTGGTGGCAGAAGGACGTGCTGTAGGTGATGGTTCTGGATTTGGGTCGTGTGCTGTAGTCCTGTCCCTGAACGATTCGCTCCAGCTCGCTTTTGGTTTGTTTGTAGCTGGAGCTGTTCTTGTATTCTTCCACCAAACGGTCCTCGATGCCCTTCAGAGACGAACTCAGCTGCTCCTCGTCCAGTTCTGACACACGCAAACACATTTATAATCAGTCACACAAATACACTAGTCTCAGTCACTGATGGTATTATTATCTAAAAATAATAAATTTATATTAAAGCTGAAATAAATTCTAAATATTACATGAAAAACAAACTAAAACTATTTAAAATTCATTTTAAAGCTGAAAATAAAATAAATTCTAAATATTAGTCTTAGTCAGTGAAGATATAAAACAAAAACTACAACTATTAAACAATTGTTTTAAAGCTGAAATAAGTTCTAAATATTACATGAAAAAACTATAACAGATTCCTATTATGGCTGAATAAAATAAATTCTAAATCTTATATAAATAGCTTAAAAACCATTAAAGTATTAATAATTCATATTAAAGCTGAAATAAATTATAAATATTAATCTCAGTCTGTGATGTTATTGTTAACATTGATGACAAAACTTTTAAACATTCTTTTTAAATCTGAAAAACAATAACTGAATTAGAAGTATTAACGGAAGAAACTTAAACGAAAAATACAAATATTGCCTTGGCAACTAACTGAAATAAATAAGTTGAAGTACTTCAATTAGTAAAACTAAAACTGAAATAACAATAAAGCCAAATACACAATTACAAAACAAAAATAAAAACACATCAGTTCTTGACTAAAATAAGCTGCAAAATTATCTTTATACTGTGGAAGGGAAATTGTTGTACCCTCACTGTTGTTTAACTTGTTGAGAGCGACGGCGGTGGATTCTCCATTGATGACATCCAGGAAGAAATCAGCAGGATTGTTATGAGGTTCACAGGTGTATCCTGATACACACACACACACACACACACATCAGTATCAGGACGTGAGGGTCTGTTCATGTGTGTATATGTTTTCATACCGATCTGACTGAAGTAGTCCAGGGCGTCTTGAGCCAGGCCGTGATACACCATCCTTCCTCCCACCAGCAGCGTGAGGCTGTCGAACAGCCGGTAGATGGAGTACCGCGGCTGATGGATGGACAGGATGATGGTGCGACCGCTGTTCGCCATTCTGAACAAACCACAATGTCAATGTCATATTTCACCCCAAAAAGTTTTTTATTATTATTTTAAAATATAAAATTAAAAATATATATGCATATTTATAAATAGAAAGTTTACAAAGTAATTAGTTATTATTACATTTAAAAATAAAATGTATAAACAATTTATATAAATACATTTATATACAATGTAAATTAACGCCTCCCTGAAAGAGGGAACAGAGACGTTATGTCAACACTGACATTAGGGGTCTTACTTGAGAGCACAATCACATCTGAGTAGTAAAAAAACAGGCCAATGAATATTGGTGAGTGGATTTTGCATGCCTAGTGGCATGCAAACGAATATATAAAACGACAGTGTGCATCCACTCATTCAAGTTTACGCTGAGGAGCCAAGACTGTGTCCCAGCCATTCAGCTGTGTAGTTCAAGGTTGTGGCAAGATGGATGTAACATCTCCGTTCCCACCTTCAGGGAAACCTTTCAGTCAGTCACATTCAATGGGACACAGCAATGCCAAGAATGGGTCTGCCTTCTCCAAGGGCAGCGCTTGCAAGTTCACCACCTTGTCCCAAAAGGGAGTGGTGGAAACTTTGGACACGTATCCAGGCCGGGGTCTCAAGACAATGTGAGTCAATCAGAATTCAAGGCAGGTTTCACTGGCCGAAAATGCCTACAAGTTCCCCAGCCTCTTGATGGAAGTAAGTGGGGTCTGGAGCGCTGTCTTCAGAGACAATATCTTAAACTTGACTGACTCTAGAGGCTCAATGGGGCTGTCTGCAGTGCATAAAGGACCACTGAGAGATCCCATGAGAGGACAAGGTGCAGTCTACCTCCTTATGTCTCTCAAGAACCTAATGATCAGGTCGTGTTTCCCATAGACCTGTCATCTACACCATTGTGATGTGTTGCAATAGCAGCAACATGTACACTTTCAAGGTGGAGGGGACCGTCTCCGCTTCAGACTCTCTTGCAGAAAAGAAATCACAAGTGGGAGGACTCATGGGAAGCAAAACAGATCGCTGAATTGACTTCAAATCAGCTGGACCACCAGTCTCCTTTTCTCCTGGGAGGGTGAGCTGTTATTAGAGCATGTCGACTGCATGATTGAGCTCCCATGGAATAAGAATGGAGAGCAGCGACTTGAGCTGCATCTGATTCTAAAGGAGGATATGGCAGACAAGTTGTGACATGCAACGGGAGCACAGATCACCTTGGCAGTTGATGTATGCAATGGTCGCAACGTGGTCCATCCGGTCTCATATGTAACAATCTTGAATTTTGAGCCAATGGTGGAACAGGGCTGAATTCACTGCTTCCTGGGAAAGAGCAGCTCCCTCCATCATGGAGTTGCAGTTTCTTTGACTCTTGGAGGGTTTAGTACCAACATAAGGGACAGGCTGCATCGCCTTCCTGCTGGTGGCAGTTCTGCGGCCAATATGTTGGTTCTGGCCACACCGGAGCCGATGTAAAAGCCACAGGGGGATGACTGCGAATAAAATGTATAAACAATTTATATAAATACATTTATATACAATGTAAATTAACGCCTCCCTGAAAGAGGGAACAGAGACGTTATGTCAACACTGACATTAGGGGTCTTACTTGAGAGCACAATCACATCTGAGTAGTAAAAAAACAGGCCAATGAATATTGGTGAGTGGATTTTGCATGCCTACCGTCTCCGCTTCAGACTCTCTTGCAGAAAAGAAATCACAAGTGGGAGGACTCATGGGAAGCAAAACAGATCGCTGAATTGACTTCAAATCAGCTGGACCACCAGTCTCCTTTTCTCCTGGGAGGGTGAGCTGTTATTAGAGCATGTCAACTGCATGATTGAGCTCCCATGGAATAAGAATGCAGAGCAGCGACTTGAGCTGCATCTGATTCTAAAGGAGGATATGGCAGGCAAGTTGTGACATGCAACGGGAGCACAGATCACCTTGGCAGTTGATGTATGCAATGGTCGCAACGTGGTCCATCCGGTCTCATATGCAACAATCTTGAATTTTGAGCCAATGGTGGAACAGGGCTGAATTCACTGCTTCCTGGGAAAGAGCAGCTCCCTCCATCATGGAGTTGCAGTTTCTTTGACTCTTGGAGGGTTTAGTACCAACATAAGGGACAGGCTGCATCGCCTTCCAGCTGGTGGCAGTTCTGCGGCCAATATGTTGGTTCTGGCCACACCGGAGCCGATGTAAAAGCCACAGGGGGATGACTGCCGTGACAGGGACTGGCCCTCGGCACAGGCAGGCCAACTCCTCCAGGATGGCACATCAATACGTGTCTTTGCCAGAAGGTTTGCTGTGTCTCCCAGCACAGTCTCAAGAGCATGGAGGAGATTCCAGGAGACAGGCAGTTACTCTAGGAAAGCTGGACAGGGCCGTAGAAGGTCCTTAACCCATCAGCAGGACCGCTATCTGCTCCTTTGTGCAAGGAGGAACAGGATGAGTACTGCCAGAGCCCTACAAAATGACCTCCAGCAGGCCACTGGTGTGAATGTCTCCGACCAAACAATCAGAAACAGACTTCATGAGGGTGGCCTGAGGGCCCGGTGTCCTCTAGTGGGCCCTGTGCTCACTGCCCGACACTGTGGAGCTCAATTGGCATTTGCCATTGAACACCAGAATTGGCAGGTCTGTCCTTTTCACAGATGAGAGCAGGTTCACTCTGAGCACATGTGACAGACGTGAAAGGGTCTGGATAAGCCCTGGAGAATGTTATGCTGCCTGCAACATCGTTCAGCATGACCGGTTGGTGGTGGGTCAGTGATGGTCTGGCGAGGCATATCCATGGAGGGATGCACAGACCTCTACAGGCTAGACAATGGCACCCTGACTGCCATTAGATATTGGGATGAAATCCTTGGACCCACTGTCAGACCCTTCACTGGTGCAGTGGGTCCTGGGTTCCTCCAGGTGCACGACAATGCCCGGCCTCATGTGGCGAGAGTACGCAGGCAGTTCCTGGAGGATGAAGGAATTGATACCACTGAATGGCCCCCACGCTCGCCTGACCTAAATCCAATAGAACACTTCTGGGACATTATGTTTCGGTCCATCCGACGCCGCCAGGTTGCACCTCAGACTGTCCAGGAGCTCAGTGATGCCCTGGTCCAGATCTGGGAGGAAATACCCCAGGACACCATCTGCCGTCTCATTAGGAGCATGACCCGACGTTGTACAAATACAAACTACTATACAAACTACTGAATACCATTTTGAGTTGCTGCAATGAAATTTCAGCAAAATGGACTAGCCTGCTGCATAATTTTTTCACTTTGTTTTTCAGGGTGTCTTTGAATTCAGCCCTCTGTAGGTTGATAATTTTAATTTCCATCAAACGATGTGGCATCCTTTCGTTCCTAACACATTACCCAGTCCATATCAGTATAGATATCCAGCATGATATTTTTCCCCATTGAGATCTGATGTGTTTTCAAAGTGATCCTTTAATTTTTTGAGCAGTGTATATACGTATATAAACGCACCTCTTGAGCAGCATGAGGACAGAGTTGGCTGTACTGGCGTCCAGGCCGGTGGTCGGTTCGTCCACGAAAAGCACTGGCGGATCAAAGATCAGCTCCATGCCGATGCTCGTCCTCTTCCTCTCTCCACCCGAAACACCACGAATCAGCTGCGTGCCCACCTGTAAAACCAGCCAATCAGAGCAACCGTCAATTTATTTATTTAGTTTGTATGTTTTATCTAGCTATACATTTGAGGAGAATAAAAAACACTTAAGACAGTAGATACATCTAAATTAAAGATGAGACTACATACTGTACACTCTTTACTGATTTTTGAGAATGTTAAGTCTGTGTTGATTATACATGTAGTCAGTCAGATGAAGGTGTGTTTGGTTTGTTACCCATGAACCAGCCACTTTGCTCAATCCCAGCTCCTGAATTAGTCTCTCAACCTTCTCATCTTTTTCTAGCTGACAGATCGACTTTGGGAGCCTTAAAGCCGCCGAGAAACACAGATTCTCACGAACAGTCAGCGTCCCCATGACTATGTCATCCTGCAAAAAAATATGCCTTTAAAATAGCCGCCATTTACCGGTATTGGTGATATTTAAAAATGAATAGGATACATATAATAATATGACACATAATTATCCGGCACCATTAGGTTGTTATTCTTACAAACTGTCCTATTTTGACACTGCCAAAAATAGCATTTTAGCACAAGCATTTTAGTTTCTTCTATTAAGTGTAATTGTTCTTTTTGTGTGCAATGATGTGATTCATTGGCAAATAAATGAATACGTATTTAATGTTTTACCTTTTTCAACATTTCTATAGACATCGTGGTATCACGATCATCATAATCAGGGGTGTAAAGTAGCTAATTACAAGTACCCTCATTACTGAAACTACCATATTGGTCCAAATACAAGACAATTTTTTTCTTAAAAATACATCTGACAAAAAAATGGGGTCATCTTTTATTTAGGGTCTAGACTTTTACATGGCAATAATATACCTGTAACATTATGTGGTGTCAAGTACTTGTAAAGCGTAAAAATTACTGTGTTATGCTATCAGTGCCCAGTGTTTCTCAACAACAAACATTCTAAGTTTTTCTGATGTGAGACTTTTATTTTGAAAGACATGCGTGAAAGCTGTTGACACTTCTGTGAGATGCAGTTTGAGAGTGCCAGAGAAAAATGTGTTATCCAAACTTATACAAACTACTGAGTACCATTTTGAGTTGCTGCAATGAAATTTCAGCAAAATGGACTAGCCTGCTGCATAATTTTTTCACTTTGTTTTTCAGGGTGTCTTTGAATTCAGCCCTCTGTAGGTTGATAATTTTAGGTTGAAAATAAAAAATAGAACAAGTAAATAAGGAATAACAGTATATACATTGACAATTGTATGTGCAGGTATATTACAATAGACAGTTTTGTATGTACAGGTATATTATGTGCAAATTTAAAGTGTAGACTAAGTATGTGTGTTAGATAAATAAGTGTATGGGTGTATAAATAGTGTTGTGTGTTCCACAGTTATTGTCAAGTGTTCATGAGATGGATGGCCTGAGGGAAGAAACTGTTCCTGTGTCTGGTCGTTCTGGTGCTCAGTGCTCCGTAGCGTCGACCAGACGGCAACAGTTCAAATAGGGAGTGTGCTGGATGTGAGGGGTGCAGAGTGATTTTGCTAGCCCTTTTGTTCACTCTGGAAGAGTACAGTTCTTGAAGAGAAGGGAGGGTTGTATCAATGATTCGCTCAGCAGTCCGGACTACCCTCTGTAGTCTTCTGAAGTCAGATTTGGTAGCTGAGCTGAACCAGACAGTTAT